AATAGAGAGGGAATATTTGAGGTACTGACTGAACTATTTATATATGTTTTGTCTTTGGATTTTTGATTACCCCAGCACCACGGTGTGTCTTGAGCGCTTTGTCTTAAGAATTAAAAAAACAATAAAATTTGTTTTAAAAAAATCCTCATGTTCAGTGAAGAGTAAAGTGGTTGGAAAGATCTTGTCCCTGGAAAGCCATTGCCAGTTAGAATGAACAGTGTGAGGTTAGATGAAAAAATATTTGATCTTGAACTTTCTTTGGGTGTAGAAGGCTTGCCTTATGGTGACCTTGAGAATAGAAAATGTTTACCACCTGTTGCCTATCCATATTAAAGTTATACACACACATGGCCCTTCCCTTGTATACATGGGGTTTTTGCTTGGGAAAAATTAATCAAAATTAAAAAGGAGCAGTCAAGGAGCCATGATGGCACAGTGGTTAGAATGCAGTATTGCAGGCAAACTCTGCCCCCAGCCTGGAGTTCAATTCTACTGGCTCAAAGTTGATTCAGCCTTACATCCTCCCAATGGCAGTAAAATGAGGACCCAGAATGTTGGGGGCAATATGCTGACATATGTAAACTGCCCTTTGGGGAGGTATGAAAGTATTATCACCATTGCTACAATCACACTGTCCTATATTGACCTAGCCATTTGAGCCATTTGATCTAGTGTGGTATTACTGGGAATGGAAAGGCATTTGGAAGGATCCGGTATTCAACAAGTCATCAGTTGAAACTGACTCTGCTACTGTATTGTGCAAAGTTGAAAAAAAATACCAGTATCCATTTGTTATGAAATGTGTCCATATATAAATTAGATAGGTAGGTAGGTAGGTAGCTATGTAGATAGACAGACAGGTAAGAGTAATTGCACAAGTTGAACAGAGAGTCAGATAATAACATATAAGAACGGTTGCAAGAATTGGGTATGGCCAGTCTAGACAAAAAAAGAAGGACTAGGGGGGACACAATAGCAGTATCCCAGTACTGAGAGGCTGCCACAAAGAAGAGGGGGTCAAGTTATTTTCCAAAGCACCAGAAGGCAAGACAAGAAACAATGAATGAAATCTAATCAAGGAGAGAAGCAAATTGGAATTAAGGAGAAACTCCAACAGGGAGGACAATTATCCAGTAGAACAGCTTGCCTTCAGAAATCGTAGGCACTCCATCACTAGAGGTTTTAAAGAAAAGACTGGACAACCACCTGTCTGAAATGATATAGGGTCTCCTGCTTGAACAGGGGATTGGACTAGAAAACCTCCTCCAGCTCTAGCCTGATTGATTGATTGATAATTTTGCCAATTGGACCAAATTAAATCAAACACCAGAATTTCAGAGCAGAGTGGATTTGGAAAACAAAGTGGTACTTTTTGTTACTTGGTCAGTTAGTGGGCTCAATCACACTTGAGTAATTTCAATCCAGAGCTCACGCATTCATTGTGTCCATACAAGAGGAGCTAAATGATCTTCAAATTATGCCTTATCTTTTTATTGTGTCCTATAAATATGAAAGTTTATTATGCAAATGAAACATGATATCAGTATTCCAAAAAGCCCTCGGGTCTTGGCTATGTTGTCAGACCTGGGGTTCCCAGGTGATCATTTGTATTTTTGCTATTTTTGCAGTTCGGCAGTTCGATTCTCACCGGCTCAGGGTTGACTCAGCCTTCCATCCTTCCAAGGTTGGTAAAATGAGGACCCGGATTGTTGGGGGCAATATAATAAATAAACCACTTAGAGAGGGCTGTAAAGCACTGTGAAGCAGTATATAAGTCTAAGTGCTATTGCTATTTTATGTTATGTATTAATAAGGTTTTTTTATATTGCACATTTTGCTTTTTATTTATTGTTCTTATTGATTTTTGTTCACTGCCAAGAGTTGCCTTTGGTGAGATTGGTGGCTATATAAATTTGATTATTAAATAAAGAATAAATGAAATGAAGCATACTGGATATATATCAGCCTCTCACCTTGGTTATGCCTCTCGGTTCTGAAAAATATGGCAAACGAGCTCTCATCTACGAAACCCCCTACTGTGCTGATAGTGATGAAGGTAACAGCATTTTATTGCAAGATGCTGTTCCAATTTCTGACTATTAACTAATGACAGAAGAAGCTGCAGAACAGAGTTTAGATGAAAGAGAGGCAGAGATTATGATATTGAAACCTACTTTTTGTCCTTGGTCTTGCTGAAATGGGTGAGCAGAGCCAGGCAGGAAGCAAAAAGCCAAAATTTAAACAAAAAGTTAATAAGTTGGCGGGCGGATAGAGATCGACCCCTAGGTGCCTCGATCATGGGGTGCCTCAGGGCTCGGTCCTGTCCCCCCTCATTTTTAACATCTACATGAAACCGCTGGGTGAGATCATTCGGCGACACGGGGTGAGGTATCATCAGTACGCGGATGATACCCAATTATATATCTCCACCCCGTGTCCTTTCAGTGAAGCAGTCGACGTGATGTGCTGGTGTCTGGAAGATGTAAGGGTCTGGATGGGGGTGAACAGGCTTAAACTCAACCCTGACAAGACCGAGTGGCTCTGGATCTTGCCTCCCAAAGGCCAACTGGATGGTCCATCTTTAGTCCTGGGGGGGGGCAAATTTACCTCCCTCAGTGCAGGCACGCAACTTGGGTGTCCTCCTGGACTCACAGCTAAATCTGGAACAACATCTATCGGCTGTGGCCAGGGGGACCTTTGCCCAGGTTCGCCTGGTGCACCAGTTGCGGCCTTATCTGGACCGAGAGGCTTTACTCCCAGTCACTCATGCCCTCGTCACCTCAAGACTGGATTACTGTAACGCGCTCTACATGGGGCTACCCTTGAAGAGCGTTCGGAGGCTGCAGTTGGTTCAGAATGCAGCCGCGAGAGCGATTGTGGGTGCACCAAGGTACATCCACGTGTCACCTATCCTCCGCGAGCTGCACTGGCGTCCTGTGGGTCTCCGGACGCAATTCAAGGTGTTGGTTATCACCTTCAAAGCCCTTCATGGCATAGGGCCAGGTTACTTACAGGACCGCATTCTGCCGCACAGCTCCCAGAGACCGGTGAGGTCCCATAGATTGGGCCTCCTTCAGGTCCCGTTGGCCAGACAATGTTGGCTGGCGGGCCCTCGGGGAAGGGCCTTTTCTGTGGTGGCTCCGACCTGGTGGAATCAACTTCCCCCCGAGGTTCGAACTACTCCCATCCTGCTGGCTTTTAAGAAGGCCGTTAAAACTTGCCTGTTGCGGCAGGCCTGGGGCTGATGTCCCTGGGGGGCCGGGATATGATCGGACTCGTGGTATGACTGTTTTATTTTATTGTTTTATCATTGTTTTAACTTTGTACGCCGCCCTGAGTCCTTTGGGATTGGGCGGCATATAAATATTTGAAAAAATAAATAAAATAAATAAATAAGAAATTAGGAGGATTTTTCATAGGATAATATCAAAAGAACAGCCACAAGCTATATACATTTAAATCCTATTTTTCTTTCTTCAGGAATGTATATATTATTCTCCCATGTGAAGGAGAAAAAGTTGAGGAAAAAGATTGATTATATATTGTAACCCCAAAATCTTATCTAAGTCTACAGGATATGAATTACAAAAATCTTGATGGCTGTGTAGGTCATGGGAAAGACAGAGGATTTGGGGATGTCCCATTGCTTCCAGATTTTGGCCATGTCTGTTTCTGCAACTCAGCTCTGAAAGCCCTAATTGTCTCTCTAAATATTATGCTGAGGTGATAATGGCAATAATGTAAATTTTCTTGCTACACTCTGGAAAATGATATGACGTTGCAGTTTTCATTTTTACCTACTTTCCTAGAAATAGATATCATTGAACCCAGAGGATCTTGCTTCAGTAATCTGTGATACTACAAAGCACAGAAGCCTCCATACCAAAAGTGATAATGAAAGATGAATTCTGGTCTAGAGGGCATAATAATGAATTCTGGAGAGAGATTCTAAACATATGACGATTGCTACACTGGGTTATCTCTGAATCTTCTGTTCCTTTTGTTTTAAAATTATGGTAGTGGTTTTTGAATTTGATGAAAATAACCCACAAAATATATGTTACTTTTTATTTTGTCTAAGTATAGAATCTACTCTAGAGAATGTGAAGGTTGACAGAAAAAAATTGAGGCAGCTCATTATTCATCAAATGGAGTTGCAGAGAACAACTTTTTGAAAATTTGGGGGAAAGCTCACTGACCCATGACTGGGGGGGGGGGACAGCAAGTCCTATGGAGATTCTAGGAATTTAGTAACAATATTAATCATGCCAGAGTAATGAGTTATTCAAACATTGGGCAGCAACTATGAATGGTGGTGTTCAACATTAGATAACAAGGACATGCATTCCGTCACAGTTTGGATATGGTTCTTTATGAGTATCTCTAAAATTGTCAGCCAATTGTAATCTTAAACACAACAAAACTTTTAAAAATTACCAACTCTTTTGACAATGTTCCAAGGATTTGTTTTGAACTCACAACAGAGCTATCTCACAAGCCCAGAATATGCCCAGAATGATGGGAACAGAGTCATAATACTTCCACTAAGTTCAGTAGAATCTGTTTCATATTTGAAAAGGATCATCCTGAGACTGAAATGTTGCAAATTAAAAACACTTTGCACAACCCAACTCAAGATGTACACCACCACCACCACCACCACCATTATCACCACCACCTTGTTGAGCATTAACAGTACATTCACATTGTCCCATAGAAAACAAAGTGTCCCAAATAGGGATGGGTTTGAGCTAAGTGCAAAGCCCAGAAGCCAATAACACAATTTTTTAATTGGTCTGAGCTTGTACATATTTCCTGGTGTGGTTGATTCCAAGGGCTTGGCTTTTCTTCTATCACACTCACTCACTGACATTAATCAGCCTGAAAAATGAAATCCTCAATCTATGCAGAAATCACTATGAAAGTATAATATTTTGGCTGAGGATTAGATATTTAAACTGGGAATTATTAAAAGAAAAGAATAAAAAGTATTAAGCTACCTGAATGGCAGATGGTGATGTTTTTTCTCTTTTCCCTTGATTTTATCTCTGAAAGTAAAAATATGATTCAGAAACAATCAAGTGATTAAAAAATAATTTGCTTGAATGAAGCAAGGAAAAAAAACCCTTCCTGTATGAAATTTTGGAAAATGAAATCTTATAACCCAACTCTCTTCTATTACACTGCAAAAACATTTTTCTTGGAAAATCACAGCAAATGCACACATAAGGGATAGAAAGAGAAATACAAACATTTGTAGGAGAGGTATTTTTTAAAAAAATTAAAAAAACATGGAGAAATATTTATATCTGACAGATATAAAAAATTAGTAGGATTAAGATTAGGATTAGAAACATTTCATCTAGGACAGCCACTTGTAATTTTACAGCCATCTATTTTCAACATCCTTTAGAAGACATTTGCTCAGGCCTTTAACAACTATTTCTCTCCTTCCTTGCAACCTTGGATATCAGAAAGTATGTGATAATGGAAAAGAATGTTTCTGGATAGAAAATTGGAATGTCATAGAAAAAATGGATATCCCAATCCACTTTGGCTCCAGCCCTATCCACAATTTGTTTCATCTCTATCTATCATGCAAATCATGTAGATTATCTTCTACTTTCTGATATCCAAGGTTGCAAGGGAGAAGAGAAATAGCTTTTCCCGGCCTTAAGATAGTTAGAATTTCATAATAGAACTGAAATTCAGATAGCCACCAATGGAGTCATTCACATATATTTCAGTTTGCTGCTGAAAATGAGAGTAGACCTCAATACACCTTTGGCTGGGAAGGAAAACAGAAAGGTTTCTAATGCTGGTTTGATTTTAGATCTCATTAGAGGAGCAGAGAAGAAGTACACAAGCAGGCACGCACGGACACAAACACACAGAATGCACACACTAAAAAAGGAAAGGAATTGCAGCTGAAGGGCCAGTATGTACCTGGAGTTTTTGTGGTCATCACTGTTGCACCAGAGAAGAAAGCCAGGGAAAAACATCAAAGTCAAGAGAGTTGAGTGCTAATTTGCAACAGACTATTTTCTACCTACCAGGAACCAATTGCTTGGTGATTCAAGGATACATCTTCCTGCATGAGTTTTATAGCAGGAACACCTGATGGATACCTCAACAGTGTGAACTAGGGGGGGGAGCTATTCCAGTCAACCTCTTGCCCAATGGACAGGACCCAGGTGGCAATACTCAAAGGCTCTAAAGCTGGCCTCTAAAATAAGGTCTTGAAGTATAAATCATCACCTTCTGAATACATAAGAAGCTTTTCAGAATCACAATCTTTTATTGCTCTTGCAAGGTTAGCCATATGGAGTTACTTATAATTTTCTGGTTATTATTGATATGTTCAGAAAAGCTCTAATCTCTGTTGTAGGTTTAGGAACATAAGAACAACCCCCATTTTTAAAATCAATTCTGGAATTGAGACTGGCATGAATAAAACCCCTTTTTAGAGCATTATCCTGGTTCTTAATATACCTGGCTACAGATTTGTACCCATTATGGCGCTTTTTCTGGACTCCTGACAGCCTGCTGGAATAGGGCACAGAAGAAAAGGGAAAAAAAAAACACAATTAGGATAAATGAAATTGGCAACAATAGTCATGAGATCATTTTGCATGTGAAATGGACAAATGCTTTTGTTTTCTATAACTTATTTATCCAAATGAGATTCTCTACAATTTAGTCAAGATTCATTTGGGAAGATGGTGGCCCAACTTTCATGATCATAGAAAACCAATACAAATAACCACAGATTCTATTCAAATAAATAAGCAAAAACAAATAGCAGGGAAAGAGCTTTTCATGGCCACTTAGAACCTCCCACTGGAAGAATGCCCTTCCTGATGGGCACTTCTAGAAAAGTCCATATAAATATAAGACATAGAATATTACTTGGATGGTATAGTTATCATAGTTGAAAATACATTCAATTTTATGAAAACTGATCCAGATCAGTTATAACAACCAAAGTTAATGATTTGAATTGTTGTTTTTCTTATTCTAATTATGCACACAATGATGCAAATCCATCACGCAACAGGACTTGAAAGAGTAAGGAGGATGTTTATCACCCTTAGAATAAATAATTGTATCTGTGTATAATTTTTCTCATTACTTCTGGTGGCTTAAGTAGATTAAAATGCCAAATGAAAAGAACAAAGGGACAGGCCTATACATTGCCTTGGTAGCCATTCAGTTACCTCCCAAATCAATAATTGCTGAGATATGACAGGCTATATAGGAGCAAACCAATGGATGGGAGAAATCTTTAACTCTTTCTTTCTACTACTACTATACCTGGCAAATTCCTGATTATCCCTGACAAATTTCTTTTTCCCTGGATGTTTTCACCCATTTAAATGTTGTCTTTCAGGTCCTAATTAGTGAAAGTGAAAATCTTTCTTATGTGCTATGCAACGTGCTATTAAAAAATTCTGTAAATCACAAGGAAGGAAGGATTAAAAGTTCCCCCTCCCCTTTCATTTACTTATTATTCCTACAAGGCTCATTACAAGTAGATTTAGTTTAGAAGGACAATGTGAGGTTCTTCAATCTTTTGCCAATGCATATGAAAACAAACTAAATTGATTAAGGAAAAAAATGCTCAGAATTCTCCTCATTGATTAATTGCATCTGAATTACAAAAAAGTAAACAAACATGTCTTCCAGAAATGATTCTGAGGGGGTCATGAATGATCATTTGGAGATGAGATCTGTGGAGATTTCCTTATGTACTCTGTTTTTGTTTGTTTTTGTTTTGTGTTTGTTTTTATTTTGAATTATAGGAGAAAGATGGCAGATTCATGTCTTTTTCTGTTGCAAAGTGATTTTAACTAGGCAAATGGTAGGGGTGAAGTAAGCTAACTTCCTCATATTCATGATTGTATATAGGCCGATTTTAACATATAATTTTATTTTTATCAAACCACTTCACAGTATAAACACCATGCATGCACAAATAGAAGTACACAAAAAAGGAAATACATTAAAATCGGTGTTAAACTGAAAGCAGCCATCTTGAATACAGAAGCCATGCAATAACAACAACAAAAGTATGTTTCCCAAGCCTTGGAAAAGGAAATCTTGTAAGCCAAGAGCTATTTTGTGTGTCTTCTGCTTATCCTCTAATTTGCCTCCTATGGGGCATCCCTGATTAAATTCAGCACCATAGACAGAGCTCTAGAAGATAAGAGATTGGCAAGCACCAAATGTGTACCAAGTGATGGCTGCATTAAAAACTTGCCCAAGGAAAGAAAACATGAATAATTCAATTGGGCCAGGATTGTTTTATGCTCCAGAGCTACATCCTACCTATTTTTTAAAAATAAACATAGATCAGGTATTATGTCCTGCTGCTGACATTTTTACTGTCCTAAAACATAAAAGAGGCCAGCCATGAGGAGCAAAGAATGGAATATTGGGGGTCAGGCAACAAAATGTATCTCAAAATATTAATATTTAAGAGAAGCTGGCCCAGTTGCAGGCCTAGCCCTATGTCAGGCAGGCTTAAATACAAGGAGGCCAATTTGAACACACAGGCTGTTAGGGGATTTGCCTGCACAATTGTGCCATGACAACTCTTCTCCTGAAAGAAGATTAATCAAAGGAAAGTTCAGCAAATCCTAACTTCATTTGAAGTTTATAGATAAACTGTGCATGTTTTCAGAAAAAGGTTTATATTTTCTTTAGTTTTAAATACAAAATACTACCAAGGTATAACATCAAAGAGGATAATGGATTATTTGGGCTACTGAAGGATAACCTTTATTAGTAACTACAATAAAATGCAGTCGTCCACGTAAAGTCTCAAATGGTTTTACAGGCCTATTAAAATGTGAAGGGATATTTATGTTAAATATTCTTTATTAAATAAACTATTATACAGAACCACAATATTTTAACAAGCTGAAAATCAAGATCTGGGACCATGGTACTTATAGACAGGGAAACACACATTGAAAGATTCTGCATGGTGTCTGATTCCACTTAAGTTTCAATATTAAATTTATTAAATATATTATTTATAACCCTCTCTCCCCAAATTAGTAAATGTAGGAATTCTAAATTCCAATAATTTTCTCTATAAAAAAGTTCTGATAAATAGAATACATTCATTTTCTTCTTACTGGAACTTGGGCTCATTTTTCATCTTACTGTCTGGTAGATATTCTTTAATCATAAAATTATTACCAGGGATCACTCAAAATATCCAAATAGTGTGACATTTTTGAACAGGTGAAAAAAGAAGTTATTCTTCATAAACTCCATAATTAAAACACTAATGGCCATCACCTTGAACAACTTTAAAAGAGAAATATATTAAAATAAGGCTATAGATAGATGGTAGTGATGATACCTATATCTTATCTCCAGAATTGGAATAGGAGAAGAGCCGATTTGTTATGCAAGATGCAATCCAATATTTATTTAGTATTTTATAACTATCTGTAAAACAGATTTGTTTGTTTTATTTCTGATGGTGTTCTTTCAAGAAGATAAAAATTAGAAAAATGTACAGTGCTGAACTTCTATTAATGGGAGCTGCTTCATAAACAGTCAAGAAAATATAAATAGTTGTCCTTTGTTTCAAATTTCATGCATTGCTGCATATTTACCCTTCACAATCTTCTGTATCTTCATCCAAGCTATTCCATTTATATACGTGAATACAGAATATATGCAATTAGAACAAATTGCTCATTTGGTTAAAAAGAGAAAATATTTTAATTGCTAACATACAAAAAAGAGCCATATTGAGACAGATGGATCATCACACAAACATGCTGCCATTAGACATGTAAAAGGCCCATCGTATTTTGGCTGCATTCACGCACTGTGTTCAACTTGAAATATTATATGGGTTCACACAGTTTCCTAGACAATAGGCTAGCCAAAAGGGATAAATTTATACCACCCACTCATTCCCCTTGCTCACATCACGGCCGTGATCGTGACCATTGCCCAGTAACAATTTCTGTATATCTTATTCTAATGAGGTTATTTTGGTCTCATCTCCAGGCCATGATGGAAGGAGATTAAAAAAAGAAATGAAGCTGGAGGAATCCACCAGTAGCTTTTCTTAACTTCTCCCACTTTAAAGCATTAGGGACAGCCTCTGTCACTGGCCTCATTATAATGGCAAAATAGGGCTAAGCAAGTGGGGCGTAAGATTTTTATAACTGATATGGTCAAACATGTTGTCTAAATAGTGCACAACAGAAAGTGTCTATAGAGATTCTCAGTCATCTAGGTCATTGTTGTCCCAAAGGTGTTTTTTCAAGAGGCAACTGGACTTTCTTGTTTTTCTTTGAAGTCGTTTTGCTTCTCATCCAAGAAGCTTCTTTGGAAAGTCCAGTTGTCTCTTGAAAAAGCACCTTTGCACAACAGAAAAACCGTCCTGTACACTAAACAAGAACAGAAATTAATTGGAAGATTTGAATGAATTTCTATATTCCATGATAAAATCCTTCTCTTGATATGTTCAATTTAGCCCAAGAAATATATTGCCTCTAGGATTCTTCGGAGAAAATAGCACAGTTCCAATCTAGAAAAATGACCATTATTGTGCTTTGATGTTTGAAAGCAAGCATTTTTCACTATTCTTTGCATGCAGAAAATTTATTGTGGGTGTCTGTTCAGCCCAGGTTAGTTTGCTGGGCTTTGTCTTGTAAAGCTGCAAACACGATTAACACAATTAATCAGATCAGTTAAAGAATTAGCAGATGCATTCACACCATGTACTTAATAATAATAAGCTAATAATAACTTTGGTAGATTTTTGTGGCTCAGAATGTCTCACCTATTCTCACCTATCTGTTGTTTTATGACGGTGTGAATCCCAGTAATCAATCTCAACAAACAAGTTAAGCATGCTCAGTCTAAAGCAATCCAATTTAATATGGGACCTGGTCACAGTTGGTTCCCACCCTAGTAAAAACCAATTTACTCTGATTTTTCTTGATGAGTCTGTGATGCTGGTGGATTTGAGATTTCTTTAAATCATTAGTCTGAATTTATGGGGCGGCTGTTTCTTGTTTTGTTCTGAGGCTGGTGGGAAGGAGAATTCTTGTGCTGCAACCTGTTATCAGAGGGTTTTTTACTCTTAAAAACATGAATAAAAGTAAGTCCTTGACTTACGACCACTATTTATTTATTGATTTGATTTGATTCATTTGCTGCCCACCTCAATGTGACTTGGGGTGGCTTACAACATTAAAAGCAATAAAACCATAAAAATAAGTATTTCTGATATAAATAAAAATACAAATTACAATTAAAAGATGGGGAGGGAGGGAGGGAGGGAGGGAGGGAGGGAGGGAGGGAGGGAGGGAGCAGGATTTCAGAAAGGTGGTTTAGTGAATTGCATCTGAATTTATGACTTTTTTTGCCAAGGTTGTTACGTGAATCACTGCAGTTGTTAAGTGAATCACATGGTTAATAACCAAATTGGGCTTCCCCCATTGACTTTGCTTATCAGAAGTTGCACAAACGCAGCCACCACATTGAAATAGACCTGGTTAAGCATATTATGGGAATATAATCATTCTTCAGTACATGCCTGGCATGTGCTCAATTCCCCTTTGGAATGCAGATGAATTCTAAAATAATTCTCATAGCTAGGAAGCATTTATCCATCCACCTTTGAGTGAAACCTGGCATCTGTGCAATTTTGCTCTCTTATTGTTTTTCTCTTCTATTCATTCCATCCCTGACCTTAAGATAGCCAACTTCCATAAAAAAAAACTATCAGAATTCTTTTTAGCCTTGTTTATTTGGTGGGAAAGAATGAAATGAGATGGGAGGAGGCATCCTTAAGAATTTACATAGTTTCAAGGAACTCTGTCCACAGTCATCCACAAGGGGAATAGGAGTTGATTCAGTCTGCCCTTTCTGGACCAGCTCTCTAGTACAGAAACAACAGTTTCATTATGGGAGAATGATGAGAAAGAGACCCTAAGGGTGAGGTTGTCTGTTCTTAAATCAGAATTGTATGTAGACGTTTGTCTTGACTCCAGAAACAAATAAACATCATCTGCAAAAGGTTAAACAAAAGCTGGGAATGTAATGTTTTGTTTGGAAGGGATATAATTAGTGTTTTTCTTTATATTTTGTTTAGCTTCTGTAAGTTTATTTCCTGTGTTATCCCCAATGAATGAATTGAGTCCCCTCTCTGATTTCCCAGTTCAGATTTTGTTGCCCTTAGGCTTACCATTATGTGTCTGGTAGAACTTCTCTTGAGTCTGGACCCAACTGAATAGTTCACTTCTTGCACGAAGGTTGTTCTAGTTTGCATGTAACTCACCCCACCCAAAACCTGTGCTCCTTTATTGGTCAACATTAAATCTACCATCATTCTTTCCTGGTGGATTACTACCTACTAGTTACCTACCTAATCTCTATCATCAACAGGTACCAGAGTGAGCCTCACCTACTGTCAGGCTCCAAAAGCCAAAAAAAGACACACTGAGGTTCTTCTAAGCAGTTTCCTATATTGTTCCTCCTCCATAGGTAGAAATCTTGCAAACTACTTACACTATTAAACATATACTTTGAGAACTCCTAGGGAGGAGCTGATCTGATTCTTTTCCTCCCAAACTGTCTAAGTCTCTCTGTCTTTTGCTTCTCTGGAATGCAATCCCTCCCTTCTGGGAATCCAGATTACATTCCACCACATCTACTTACCATGACATCACATTGAATTGCATTGTGCATGCTCTTTGGGAAGGTTTACACAAAACTCAGCAAAAGAACACCAGGAATTTCTGCAGTCATGCCATGTTCTCATAAATAATCAGCCATGCAGGAAAGAAAACTGGTGCCGTACTACAAGTTGCTTTTTTTGTGTGCCTGAGATTGATTGATTTCAATTTAGATGTTGCCCCAGTCCAAAATGATTCTGGGCATCTCACAATATAATAAAGCAATTAAAACACAATACAGAACAAAGTAAGTTGGGATGGTTTCAACCAGTAGGAGAATTTATGAGAATTCCCTGGCTAGGTTTACACAATAAAAACCCAGATAATGGATTAAATCAATAATCAGGTCCAGCATGTTGTGTGGGTGCAAATGATATAAGATTGCTGCAGTTTCCTTGTAGAAAAAAACACACCTTGCCTGAAAGAAATCTTTCTTCAGCACAACACCCCACACTTGAGTCACTACCAGGCATAGCTGAACTTCATACCTGGCATTCAAAGACCCTTGGCTGACGGTATCTCCCTCACCCAGCAGTTCATCATCACTATGGTAATACAATTCATCATCTTCTTGCCTAGAATAATGAGGATCGATACAAGGTTTGTATATTATGGGTTTTTTAGGCACCAAAGATTGAAGCTGAGAGCAGGAACAGCAATTCTAGGATAAATGATAAATGAATTGGATAGATAAATAGCACGGCTGGGCAAATTCCCCATGGAAGGGTTATGAGTGAGAAGGCACGATGTAAGTTAATGATGTATCACTGATACATTAAGTACCCCATCTGAACGAGCTATAATTAATGTCTCAATAGAGCACTCAGATGCATTTCTACCTTGTGCTGCAAAATACTGCATGAATGTTAGTGTATGTTAGTACACATCTGTTAGTATATGTACACTAACATGTACACCTACACAGATGAATGAGATGCTTAAGACTTTCCTATTCAGTGAGTTTATCTTGTTACCATTTTTTCTTACAGGAATACAATTAACAGCACTTTCCTAAACAGATTGGTCCTTTGTTTTATGCTACATGGACGCTAGAGGGCATCAACTTCAAAACTAATTTGCTATAGCTGCACAATCAATAGCTTACTTCTAGAGAAACCCTTAATGCAGCTTGCCAAAATTGACTTTTCACTCAATGGATAAGGGATGAAAAACAGTGAAAAAATGTGAGTGTTCATGCACACTCAGGGGGAGGGGATGGGGAGGAAATCTTCCAATGTTGGTTTGTCAAGAAATGCATATGTTTGAAACAATGCCAGGAGATTATTTGGAAGATGGCTAGTGTGTTTCATTTATTGTTTCAAACAGTGCTTTTCAGGACAAAGGTCTGTATTAGTGGTGTGTGTGTGGGGGGGGGGTTTTCTGTATATTTTGTTTCATTGATTCAAAAACTGTAAGAACTGAAGGTGCAATAGAAGTTATTTGAAAGTACAGCCTTTCACTAAAAGGTGATTTGTTGAAAAACAAGCAAAATTACATTAGTAATTTTCCTTTTCCTTCATTTTCCTAAAAAAAAAAACATTTTTCACTCAGAATCTGTTAGAAAATGTTATTTTGTTCAAGCTGGCCTTAAAAATCATATCCTACATTTTGGAGTTTGGAACATCATTACTTTTTTAAAACAACAACAACAATAAACTCGTTCCTTTGAATCATACAAAAAACACAAGACTGTCCAATTTTGAAATTTTATTTGGATATTTTTTTTTTTTACCAGTCAAGTTTAACCTCTAGGTCAACCCAATTTCTACCAGTGAAATGCTTTATAATTACATAAAGCTGAGACTCATTTCTCTGCAATCAAAAGACTTTTTTTTAAAAAAAATAAATGGTTACAAACAGATACATAAGAACCATTTTCTACCAATTGAGCTAGGGGCCTAAAATCACATGTTTGTTTAATCTTCTCCCTGGGCTTATAACTTCTAACAGTCTCTGGGATCTTTATGAGCAATTTTAGCTTTAGGAATGACTGTTGATTTGTTATGCTGCCTGACCCATTATGTCTTGGCAGCTAATGAAAAGCTCAAAATTAGTAGTCTATTGGCATGTGGTAAATGTCATCCAAATAACTACAAAACAGCCATAGATGGAGCAAATACTGATGCCCGTTATCTGGCAGATCATTCTGAGAAATGGTTTCCAAGCACTGTGCGATTACCTTCTCAGCTATTTATCGTATGCCTTCTCTTACATTTAAAATTGCCCAGTTACTCTGTAATTTCCTTTAGGTGGCTTAGTAAAGTTTGACCTAATGGATGCTGCCTTTTCTTCTGAATAACTGCTCCCAGGTTTTTTTTTGTCAGGGTTTGGAAGGAACCAAACATATATTTTGATCTCCTAAATGAGGCTGTCAACACACTAACAGTGGCGCATTCTGCTTGTTAACATCAAGAATTGTGTTTCTTCCCGGCAACAAAATGGTTACACATTGATCTGGGTAGTTGATTTACAGCTCCAATTAGACATTTCAAAGCCATTTCACATAAAAAATTGGCTTTTTCTATATTTTGCCTGGCCCAGGAGAGATCTTTGCTCTACAAGGTGCTCCTGTTTGCAAAACATAGAACACAGATGGACAGAATACACCCCAAAGAATTAGCAACTAGCAACACCTATACCAGGTAAAAAGCAAAGGTTTCCCTGTCAGTCATGTCCAATTCTAGGGCATGGTGGTCATCGCTGTTTTTTGGTCAAGGGAGCCAGCATTGACCAAAGACAATTTCTGGGGTCATATGGCCAGCATGGCTATATGCCAAAGGTGCACAGAATGGATAAGAAGCTAAGAAGGATATTTTGGGCTGGGCAAAGTTGTCTTCAACTTGGGACAGATTGAAACCTACTTCCAACAGATATCCTGGGGAAATTGCAAAAGGGTCAATTCAAAATCGAATGATGCCGAAGCTCAAATTCTATTCCTCTTCCATGAATGCAGTTCCAACATTTAGGTTAAAACTCTAAGACACAAAAATTAGGCTAGAAGTTTCTTTGGAAACATTCTCATGCTTTCTAGATTTCCAGGAAGAAATTCTAGTCATAGCTTCACAAGAAGAGAGAAACCAGTTAAAAAATAAATAGAATTGGCAGCATCACCATGTAGAGACCAAATAATCTATAGGTAGAACTCATTTAGTGACCAGAATTTGGACCATCAGTTCAGTTGTTAAGTAAAGCAGTCACTAAATGAAATCTTACTTTAGTTTTCCTTTGCTTTACAGAACCACAAAGGCTGTAAATGCCGGGATTGGTTGTAAAGTGACTTTTTCATCATCTGGTAACTACAAACTGTCACTAAACAAGGCACTCATTAATTAAGGTCATAGAACAGCAAATGAGGCACTCACTAAACAAGAACTTCCTGTACACAACTGACTCCTGAGTTTTTGACTGGCAAAAGAATTTCATCTTTTTCTATGATGGGTCATTCTTGCATATATAATCACATGCCATCTACATTTCTTATTTATTTAAGAAATATAGCTGGCATGTCATTATATACTTAAGAATGACTCATCATAAAAAAATGGGACTGTTTGAATAAGTATATATCCAGTTTGTAGTATAAGATCAATTAATTTGCCTGAATGACAATTCAATTTCTATTCAGCTTTGATTTATTCAGTTTTGAGACTATCCCACTCCTCACAAAGGCAATTTATAATAAAAAGGGGAGAAAAAGAAAAAAAATATGTAAAAAAAATTCCCATAACATCTATGGAGATTCTCAGTCATCCAGGTCATAGTTATCCCAAGGGTGCTTTTTCATAAGGCACCTGAACTTTCTTGTTTTTCTTTGAAGACGCTTTGCTTCTGATCCAAGAGCTGAAGAAGCTTCTTGGATGAGAAGCAAAATGTCTTCAAAGAAAAATAAGAAAGTCCAGTTGCCTCATGAAAAACTACTTTTGGGAAATCCCTATAACTTACTGGAAATCTATTTCAGTATTACAAAAAATAAATCAGACATCCTATTCCAGGGAGAACAATCAGGTTTTTAAATATTTCTGGAAAGTCATTAAGATAAGATCTATAAGCAGCTGGGGGAACAAGTAAATTTATTATTATACTGCTTGCTTGTTTACTAAATACCAATTAGCTGAGCCTTGCTCAGACCAGCCTTGATCTGCAGGAGGTTGTGAAGAGGGAACCTGTTGCTGAGATCAGTATTCATAGGATTCCAAGAACAATTACTTTCCTGAGACCAACACCAGGAACATCATCATCTAAGTTGTTCAGATGCAGGAGAATCTATGCTGAAGCAATATATTTTCATGCTGTATCCCTAGTGATTCAGCTTTGGGGAGCAGTTAGTCTGACCTTGAATTCAACAGACAATCTAAAATCAGCAGGTTAGTAAATGCATTGGCAGGATTAGCAGATATAGGACACAGTTCCAGGATGTGCATTTTTCAATAGTACAGAATATCTGTGGCTCAGGGTTGTACTGTGGAGTCCTGGGTGCTCTCTGAGTTTGGTTGTTTGCTTGCATACATTTCATTACCCAACTAGGTAACAAAATCTCTGCAAGCAAACTACCAAGCTCAGAGAGAACCGAGGAATCTATAAATGAATTTTTATTGTGGGTTTGACTTCTTACCTTCGGAAGGCTTTCTCTGCAGTGCTGGTCTTGCTTGACTGTCTGTGGCTGGGAAGCAGGACATCAGTTTCATAGGGATCACCATCTGGATGGACCCTGGGACTCTCCAAGAATTCATCATCATTCCACACCCCAACACTGCCATCCATGGCCTGGTACCGAATCTCAATGGAAACACTGGTCTGAAAGAAGAACAAATCAGAGGCTCTCTGTTATGAACCCCGTCCTTCACAAACAGGTTTTCCCCCTGGGGCAAGGATGGTATTTCCCATGGTATTTCAACAAAACCAGGCAAAACATCGCTGTCCTGCAGAACTTCATGGGCTGAAATGCAGAAAGTATCACTAAGTGGATGTTTTCCTTGACAAGCAGAGGTACCCTATATTATTGGGGAAGTTATAGATCAATTGTTTGAATTCTACTTTTGTTGCATTTATATTGGATTTGTATTGGATTGTACAAGTTACTTATATGACCAAAGCAGCATACAGATAATCCTCAACTTACAAACTTTCTTTTAGTAACGATTTGAAGTTACAATGACACTGAAGAAAGTGACTTATGACTGTTTTTCACACTTTACAGCAGTGGCAGCATCCCCTGGTCCCATGATCAAAATGTGGACACTTGGCAATAGTCTCATGGATGGTGTTCTTGCATTGCTCTATCTGCAAATTGGCCATTTTTCTCTTACTATATCAGCATTTCTCCAGGAATCTCCAGCCTCTCTGGCTGTCAACAGGTCCATTAAATCTTTAAAAAAAATGTTATCCTGAAGGAACTGCTCCCACTGAGCTTTTTCAGAGTGGTAAATGTGGCCAATTATTAGAGGACTAGAAACCGATGGGAAGATGAGTAACAGAAAACAATAACGCCTAACTAATGGCAGCTTCTATCACTAAATGCCAGCAAGAGAAAGTGTAAAAAAAAATATCTTTAGACATCTTTGAGAATAAAGGAGAAAAACAGAGACTCCTTCTCAGAACAAAAGTGAGAACTGCAAGGCAAATTTTGACCCAATTTGGAATAAATAGGGATCTACAACAGAACACTAAAAAGTATCTTGAACCTTGTATGTAGTGAGTCTCACCTATCCAAGCCTCATTAGCTGACAGCCAGACATTAGCATGGGGTGGGGTGGAGTGGGGGGGAGGGAATAATTGGAATGTGAAAAAATGTGGGGAGGGGGATAGAAGCCCAGCTGAGCCACATGAGAAGCTCCAGCCAGCCAAGGTTATTTATGATATGCAGAGCTAGGAACTGAGCACCTGTTTTCTGAACAATATATAAGCACCTGATTGGACATTTGCAGGTAACTGGAGAGGGGAGGGAAGAGAGAACTTTCCTTTGTGTTGTTTGCATGGGAAAACCTCAGATTCAGCTTACTCCTGTAACCATTTAATCTTCAGTAAAGTATATTCTTGGCAAAAGAAATGGCTAAGATTCTTTCTTTGCTAGATGACTAAGTGGGACGGTTGACATGGTGTTTCTCAACCTAGCTGGGGCATTCTGGGAACTGAAGTCCACGCATCTTAAAATTGCCAAGGCTGAAAAAAATATTTATTTCCAAGGTTGACATTTTATGCCTATTGTGTTGGCTCAAACCTTATGGCATTTTTCTTAAGGTTAGGCCTTCCTAAGCATGACAACACCTCTCTTTTGCTATTCAGTGTTCTTCTTTGGTTATAGAGTCATCAGCACTTGCTGCACCACTATAGGGAACAGTTTGATAAAGCACAGCATTTATGTGGCTCAGAGATGGAATGCAGCTGAATCATCTCAACAGATGTCAAAATATAGAGGAATTCCCCTCCCCCTCATGTGGATACTTATTGGAAAAAGCTCAAGGCTCCAAATCACAGCATGACTTCCTTGCAATCATCAGGACCTATAAACTCATGCTGCCTGAGAAGTGAATACAATTCTGTGATCAGCTGCCACATTTACTATTTAGTAAGGTGACCAACTTTTTTACAATGAAAAGGAGGACGCAAATAAATTGAAGAAAAAAATATCGTAAATAAAAGAAACATTTTATTCATTGCAACAATAATGCAGACAACTTGCATGTGCAAAGTTTGCCAGCCGGGTGTTTTGGTGTGCTCAGCAGCAATTCCTATTGGCTTTCGAAAGCCAATAGTGGGAGTAGCACAGCTCATGCAAAAGTTGAAAAAAAAAACCATCAAAAAAAGGTGCCTGAACACCGTTCTGAGCGTTCTATGAGGGGGAAAAAAGCCCTGCAGATTAGTCTTCAAATATTGAAAAGGAGGACATGAAGGGGGACACTTTTTGAGGGAGGACAGAACTTACAAAAGGAGGACTGTCCTCCCTAAAGGAGGACAGTTGGTCACCTTATATTTAGCAACAGAAAATACTGGGAAGCACACACACGCACAAACATATATTGGTAGAAGTAGAGGTAGAGGTAGAGGTAATTCTTGATTTACAACAGTTCATTTAGTTACAATGGCACTGAAAAAAAATGACTTGTGACCATTTTTCACAGTTACAACTTCTGCAGCATCCCTGTGGTCAATGATCAAAATTTAGATGATTGGCAAATGGTTCCTATTTATGACAGTTGCTGCGTCCCAGGGTGATGTGATCACTTTTGCAATCTTCTGACAAGCAAAGTCAATGGGGAAGTCAGATTCACTTAACAACTGGGTTACTAACTTAACAACTGCAGTGATTCACTTAACACCCATGACAAGAAATGTTATAAAATGGGGCAAAATTCATTTAACAAATATCTCACTTAACAACAGAAATTTGAGGCTCAGTTGTGGTTGTAAGTTGAGGACTATCCTATAGGTAAAGGTATAGCATGGCAGATTATAGTCTATTCCTTACAACAAGTCAATTCAACCTCTATCAGCAAGTATTGCGGGCCTGACTGGCAAAAGAAAGCTCAGGATCATATTGGTTGGAAACATGCAGTAGAGGCCTTCATCCTGCAGTGAATAGACAATGGCTAGAATGATGGTGGTGATGATGATGATAGGTCTGTATATATTAGTGTGTGTATGTGTGTGTATAGGTCTTTTGATTTAAAAATGTGGAGAACTTCTGCTAATCTAAAACATTGGCATAGCATTTAAAAACTCAGAAGAACTCACCAATTAAGGAACATTTCATTCATTTTGGCTTCCTTAATAGATTATTTTTATCTATATAATTGACCTTCTGGAGAGAAAAAATGAATCTGAATGTTTAAAACAATATTTTTCTTTTTAAATTGCCTAAGTACTTATGCATATACACTAAGTGCCCAAGGTGAGGTTTTTTGGGATTTGTGTTTTTTTTAATAAAAATAAATTGTACATTAATCAACCTGTTAAAGTGTGAGATGTGATTATTTTAAATTTAAATTGACCAAGTGATGGCAGAACTTCTGAATGGAAGCCAAATTGGTCCTCATCTCTGCTTTGCACCAACAATTGTCACTGATGTCAGCCTGCCTATTGCATATGGGTTAATCTAAATAGAGGTTCATTGGTGTCATATTATTTCTCATTCAGAAGCTTCACTGTCTATGGAGCAAGCAGCTTTTTAATGGGTGATTTGGGACCATGATTTTTTGGTTGCTCTCTGGTCATGTCAATAAAAGCACCAAAGGCTTCCACTGCAATCAAAATAAAAGCTTAAAATTGCAACTCCATTGCAATTCCTCCTCAGGGATACACCAGATATGGATGTGTGTGTGTGTGTGTGATACATTCAGGTTCCAAAATGAGAGAAAGCAATGGAAAAGAAAGTAAAGCAAAAATGTAGTTTTAAATGTGAAACAGGCATAGACAAATCTACGGCTTTGCAACCCCTCCCTAGTCTTTTTCATTTAGAAAAACTGATTAAATATTTTGCAAAATGTTTTTCCACCCTCAGTCTCTATTTATCTCTTTCTCTGGCTAATCCAGACACAGGTCTAATGACCTACAAGAGAAATAGAAAAAAAAAATAGAAGGAAGGTTCCTAACGTGCTCTCCTTTTCTATTTGTGGTTCCCATGGTTACTGAATAAGGTAGTACATTACATGCCTTACCCAAGCATTTCTTTTCTGACATAGGCACTGGGTGATTTTAGCCATGGGTTAAAAAGCTCTGAGCGCTGAAATTGGGTGAATATAAAGTCATGCATGATAAAAGCAATGGTTGAAAACAAAGTATGACCAAAGCAAAAAACAAAAACCCTTGGAGGCAAAGGCAAATTTCACAACACAATTCAGAAAGTAGCAGATTTTTATACTATAGATAGTTCTTGACTTACAACAGTTCCCTTAATGACTGTTTGAATTTACAAAGGCACTGGAAAAAGTGACTTATGACCATTTTTCACATCTACAACCGTTGCAGCCTCCCCATCATTATGTGATCAAAATTCAGGCGCTTGGCAACTGACTCACATTCATGACGGTTGCAGCGTGTCCCAGATCCCCTTTTGCAACCTTCAGATAAGCAAAGTCAATGGGGAAGCCAGATGCACTTAACAACCGTGTTACTAACTTAACAGCTGCAGTGACTCACTTAACAACTGGGATAAGAAAAGTCATAAAATGGGACAAAATTTACTTAACAAACCTCTCACTTAGCAACAGAAATTGTGGGCTCAATTGTGGTCATAAGTCGAGGTCTACCTGTATATCCTGTTGTGTATACTTACTGAAAGAGAAATTGAACATTGATTGAACAGAGAGAGAAAGAGAAAAAGAGTGCACCTTGCACAGTTTTCTAAAAAAAAAAAAAACCAAAAAAAAAAACCCAGCAATCCTCAGATGCTAGTCTTTCATGTTCTCCAATAATTCCATTAAGTTGCACTCTTGAACAGCTAGGGCCTTGCAGAATGGAACTGAACTCTGTGGACTATACAGTCAGAACATGATTCTATAGCTTTTTATTGGGAAAAAAAACACAATTATGAACTTTTTAAACATTTCTTCATTGTATGATGTAAGGAGGAGGTTTAAACGTGAACTTGACTTTCATGTGATCTGTAGTTGGGCAAACACTTTTTAGCAAAGCATATCTTGAAGGGGCTTACCACCATCCACAAGGACTGTTTTGAAATCCCCAGTTATTTTCATATTTGCCTAAAGTCAACTGTGGTTTATTCAATAAGCTTCGGTATGCAACCTGTGACTTGATTTCAGTGGGGAAAGTAGAGGGTGACTCTACTTTGGGTTCAATATAACATGAATGCATAAAGACCAGACCAAACAGAGAAATAAGTAGTAAAGGTGGGTTTATATTATAGCACCTCATTTTTAAAATAACAGAGCCCTGGTGATGCAGTGTTGCAGGCAAACTCTGTCCCTAGCCTGGAGTTCAATCCTGACAGGGCTCAAGGTTGACTAAGCCTTTTATCCTTCTGAGATTGATAAAATGAGGACCCAGATAGTTGGGGGCAATATGCAAATAATGCTGACATTGTAAACAATCCAGAGATTGTGGTAAAGCACTGTGAGGCAATATATAAGCCTAAATGCTATTGCTATAGCTATTAAATTGTCTCTTACCCCTTTCCCATGAACAATGCAGCCTCAGGACAGCCTGTAAGCTTCTATCATCTCTATCCATTTGCAGTGAAAGAAACTATGCAAAATGATGCCTACAATGTAGGCTAGGCTGGATTTTGATCTGGATGCACAACTGCTTTTCTAAGTATAATGGAAACACCATTGTTGGGGTAAAAAAAATAAATCAACTCCGAAGATCATGGACAGAATAAGAATAGCTCCACCTCCTCTTGAGCAACACTATGGTATTTACTTGAATGGACACATTGTTGTCATCGATCAAGGTGTCAGTCACATTCAATTGTCCTTCTTCCACCACTTTCTGCAGGACCATCTGGAATATACCAATGAGTCTGGAAAGCAAGCAGAAAAGACAGTGAGATACCTGGAAGACGAATCTTAGCTAGACAAACTTCTGCATTATCAGGTTCCTGTAGGAAGAAATAGCTAGAAAGAAAAGGAGAGACAGCATAAACCTGCATTTGTGCGATTTCTTAAACTCTATAGCTGGATTACCAAAGTACAACTGCTGTGTTCAGAGAAGATGACATATGCAAATAAAGCATATTATGATTTTACATGATCATCAGTTCACATAATATGCTATACCATATTATCAAAGACCATTTTAACCTAGTCTAGTCTGTTGTGCAAATCCAGCTGAAGGACCTTGGAGTCCTAGTGGACTATGAGCCAGCTGTGTTCAGCAGCAGCCAAAATAGCTAATACAATCCTGGATCTGTAGCTGGCTGGCAAACTGTACTCAATGAGTAGTCCTCAACAGCACTACATCCACATGGAGAGAAGTAAGCAGTGGGGTACCACAACGTTCCATCTTAGGCCCAGTACTCTTCAATATCTTCATAAATGACTTGGATGAGGGAATTAAAGGGAAACTCAGCAAATTTGTAGATGACACTAAACTGGCAGGAGTATCCAACACCCCAGAAAACAAACTCAGGATCCAAAAAGAGGCATAGAATCAAGATCACACAAAGTATTAGTACTGCTTTATAAAACCCTAGTAAGACCACACCTGGAATACTGCAGCCAATTTTGGCCACCATATCACAAAAAAGATGTTGAGAGTTTGGAAAAAAAAATCAGAGAAGAGCAACTAAAATGATCAAAGGCCTGGAGACCAAAACATACAAAAAACGGCTGCAGGATTTGGGTTTGGCTACTCTAAAGAAAAGAAGAAATAGGGGAGACAAGATAGCAGTGTTCCAGTATTTGAGGGGCTGCCACAAAGAAGAGGGGGTCAAATTATTCTCCAAAGCACCAGAGGGCAGGACAAGAAACAATGGTTGGAAACTGATCAGAGAAGCAACCTGGAATTCAGGAGAAACTTCCTGACAGTGAGGACAATTAACCATTGGAACAACTTGCCTCCAGAAATTGTGGGCGCTCCATCACTGGAGATTTTTAAGAAGAGGCTAGACAGTCACCTCCTGCTTGAGCAGGGGGCTGGACTAGAAGACTTCCAAGGTCCCTTCCAGTCTATTCTATTCTATTCTATTCTATTCTATTCTATTCTATTCTATTCTATTCTATTCTATTCTGTTCTGTTCTGTTCTGTTCTAATTCTAATTCTATTTATTTGTTGGTTGCTAAGAGGTGATGCTGACTTGATGGTATATAATCAGTTATTTTCTACCACACTGTACTATTCATCTCCATACAAAGAGGAAAAAGCAGAGGAAAAGCAGAGCATGCATTGAGAATGGTTTACAAATCAAACAGGCTGTGGTATGGAAAGAACCTAGATTAACACAGGAGGATTATCTAATGATCTTTAAAGCATCTATCAATCTGACTCCCATTTGTAAATCCAAAATCTAGTGGTGAAAACTATACATGCCTTACCCCTGAGCACGGAGTTTCTCTGAGGTCCTCTGAATCTTGCCACGTTTGATGGGTTTATTTAAAAATCAGTTAAGTTTAATGATTCCATGTTATCCACCCTTCTATCACTGCATACTAGATATTGCTTTAAAATGTAAAATCAGACAGTTCTGTAACTCTAGAAAGCACACAGTCAAAAATTCTACAGGAAAACCTACAGAGAATAGGAAGGGCAATGGAAATTAAAGCCAACAAAGGAACAATTGACTGGTAAGCATACTAAAGGCTCGTATTCTTTTAAGAAACAGGGATAAGAGGATAAAAAAATTAAAAGGAAAAAAAACTGGTTTTAAGAATTTGTTGGAAAGTGGAAGGGATAGCAATATTCTGCAGTGAAATTCTAGGGATGGGAAGTAAAAGAGTGGGTTTTTTTAAAAAAACAGCTTAATTTTTTTGATAAAACAACAGAGGAGGATATGCAGTTGCTACTACTTTCAAGAAACAGAGAAATATTATTGTTGTCATGATCATCACCATCGTATCCTCTGCAGAAGTTCATTCATCTATCATTTGTATTGGGGAAATTGAGAGGTGACAGCATTTGTTCTGCTTATAGACAGATAAAGTAACATGTAGCCTATTAAAAAATGAACAGCTAATGTTTGCAAGTTTCATTTCACCAGCAGTACTATGAATAATGCAAACACTGTGGTCCCTATTGTCTTGCAAGTAGGCTGACCTGTTTCTGTTTTTTTAAGATACCGTCCATGTCAGCTTATACTATATTTTTGATAAACAATCATCTTTCTTTTTCATTGTTTCCTGCAGCTGGAATTTGATGGTTATTTAGTGGCAGCAGAGTCACAAGATCAAAAAAGGAGAGTTCTGGGCTTACTAGAGAATTGCAGAAACATGGTGTTAGAAAGGCGTATATGGCCTTTTGTAAACCACAATAATAAAAAAGACTCTTGGCTGTTAAGATTGCAACAGACAGGACAATTAGTGAAACTATAAAGGGCTTTATGGCTTAAAATCATTATTTTTAACTGTATCTGAAAACCTTCTGGAAGCCAATGCAATGCCCATAATGTAGATGTTACGTACCTCTGGTTGGTTGTCACCAGGCAATAAGTGGACTGTTATATTTTAATAACAGAATAACAGAGTTGAAAAGGAACTTGGAAGATTACTGTCCAATCTCCTCTTAAAACCTCCAGTGATGGAGCATCCTCAACTTCTGAAGGCAAGCTGTCCATTGATTAATTGTTCCCATAGTCAGAAAAATTCTCATTCTAGGTTGGAATTCTCTTTGATAAGTATCCATCTGTATACAGAATCAGCATATTGCCATCATTATCTGGATCCTCATTTTACTGACTTCAGAAGGAGGGAAGACTGAGTCAACTTTGAGCAAGTCAGGATCAAACTCCAGGCAGTGGAAGGCAGAGTAAGCCTGCAATACTGCATTTTAACCACTCTGCCACCATGGCTGGAAGACTGCTATCATGTTACTCTAGTCTAGTCCTTCTCTTCACTAGACTAAACATACCTAGTTCCTTCGACTTTTTATCATATGTTTTAGCCTTCAGACACCTAATAATTTTTGTTGCTCTTCTTTGCACTGTTTCTAGAGTCTCAACATCTTTTTTGTATTGTGGTGACCAGAATTGGACGCAGTATTGCAAATGCAGTCTTACCAAGGCAGTATATAGCAGTACTAATATTTTACATGATCTTGATCCTATGCCTCTGTTGATGCAGCCTAGGATTGCATTTGCTTTGTTGACAGCTGCAGCTGGCTCCTACTTAAGTAGTTGTCTACCAGGACTCTTACATTTGTCTTACAGTTACCACAGTTGACTCAGACCCCAACATAATCTAAATACTAAGTCAAAGCCTCTACAACATACCAGTGCAGTCATGGTTGAGGCAGATAAGCACAACTGTTTGCATTTTGATGAGGCTTCACTCCAAAACAAAAAGAAAAAATAAGCCTTGAATTCCTATGTGACATTCTTTTGGGTTTTTGAAGAATGCTATCCCTGAAGTCTTATTTCAAGTAGTTAAACTTAACTATTTCTTTCAGACTCTTCATTGAGCAAAGTTTCCTGATCATTTGTGCTGCTCTTCTCAAACCCACTCCCATGTTCCTGAATCTTCCTTCAAATGTGATGCACTCAACTCAGTACTCAAAGTGTTTTTTCATCATCTGTCAAGTCAGCACTCAATTGTTATGTTATCCACTCCCCACTAAATTAGCTCTCTAATCAGAATGTTGTGGAGTACTTTTTTCAAATACTTTGCTGAAGTGAAAACATATTATGTCTAGAAGCATTCCCACAATAATAATCAAAATAGAGCTGGAAGGGACCTTGGAGATTTTCTAGTCCAACCCCCTGCTCAAGCAGGAGTCCCTATAGCATTTCAGACAAGTTGCTGCCCAGTCTCTTCTTAAAAACCTCCAGTGATGAAGCACCCACAACATCTGAAGGCAAGCTGTTCCACTGGTTAATTGTCCTCACTGTTAGGAAATTTCTCCTTAATTCCAGGTTGCTTCTCTCTTTGGTCAGTTTCCAACCATTGTTTCTTGTCCTGCCCTCTGGTGCTTTGGAAAATAAATCGACCCCCTCCTCCTTGTGGCAGCCTCTCAAATACTGGAATACTGCTATCATGTCCCCCCTAGTCCTTCTTTTCTCTAGACTGGTCATTCCCAAATCCTGCAACCGTTCTCCATACGTTTTAGTCTCCAGGTCTTTATTTATCTTAGTTGCTTTTCTTTGCACTTTTTCCAAAGTCTCAACATCTTTTTTGTAACGTGGTGACCAAAACTAGATGCAGCATTCCAGATGTGGCCTTACTAAGGCTTTATAAAGCAGTACTAATCTATTAGGGTACTAAGTGGTACTAATCTATTATAATCTATTAGAGAATTCTTTGATTTTTTAAAAATGATATAAAGTTACACTGGCAATATTTGTTCTTGACAAACTGGAGTTAATATCTAATAATTACCATATTATTTTCAGCATGCTTACAAATCAAATTCTTTATGATTTATTTAGATGCTTAGCGAAGTCAGACTGGATCTTTCTTTTTCCTCTTCTTGAAGACAAAAGACTATTTGCTACGCTATTTTCCAGTCATCTTGCAATTCTATGGGTTTTATCAAAGATAATGCATATGGATTCACTGAGATTATCCTCCTGTCCCCTAGGATGCAGCCAATATAAACCTTTAAACTTATTCAAAGTAAAGAGGTATTTCCTGGCTATATTTTTATCAATTACAAGCTTCACCTTCCTCATCACAATTTCCTGTTGAAGCACATTCTTTTATCCTGGGGAATTCTGAAACAAAATAGAACTGAATACTGTCGCTCCCCCCCCCTTTTTTTGTTAGCATTTTGCAATCTTCACTGAGCAGGTACTACTCTGACTCTTTTTTGTTCTGAACATACTTCAAGAAATCCTTTTCTTACTATTAGTCACTTTTACCAGTCTTCATTCTG